CGACGGACGGAGGCCGCGCGGACGGAGGACGGCTGCGCGTACAACGACAGACGGACGCCGCGCGGACGACGACGGAGGCAAGAGGAAAGGGCGGCGATGACCACCGCGGCACGAGGGACTGACTCGATCTCATCGGCGAGGAGACCGAACGGCGCGGCGATTTATATGACGAGCGACGATAATTGAGACGCGCGGGAAGGAGTTCGGAATTTTCCGAGGCTGCGCGGGAGAAGGGGCGGCGCGGGCTTCCTCGCGCGATGGCAAGTCGAGGACTGCGCGCAAATTTGCGCGTGTCTCACCCCTGGATAGCAACTTCTCATAATTTGGCAAGTGTTTTAGCAAACCACTGGAGAAACAAATTTGTAGTTTTTGCCAAATAACCAAGGATAGCAAGTGCAAATGGCAAACCATTGGAGATGCTCTTATGGCGCTTATGGGATACCAGGAACAGCATGATCTTCAGAAGTGAGTGAGAGACATACGGCTCGTCAGATTATCTCTCGGGGTTTGTGATGACTTGGCGATTTGAGAGAAGAGATTCACAGCTGCTTCCATGGTCCCCGGTCTACGCCAATGGCGCATTTTTGTTAGATCTTATATTTCTTTGCGACACTAAGATGTCGCGTGAAAATAATTTTTTTTTCTATAATCTATATCTCTATGTAACGGACACCACCTTTGAAATTCAACGAAATCCAGACGGAGAATCTCTCCACTCTAAACAACAAATCTACCATGACGCAAACCACGGGTCCTCCATGCCATTTTTATTCGTTGGATATATACTTTCATTTGTTTTAATTAGATACAATATATATACACTGTCCTTCAAATTATTGTTCTTTCTTTTTTTGCGCATAAAATTATTGTTCTTTCTAGCTTTGTCCTTTGATTTTTTTTACTTGAGTTCCTAGAAAGAAGTAAAGATAAACCAACACCCGCAACATCAAACTCGTTTTCTTACATATTCTCAGTAAGATATACGTCTATAGTGTATTTAGTTGAACTCATAAATATCAATTCGTTTGTCTAAACACATAATTAAAAATTAAAGAAGTTTGGCTTAAAACAAAACAAAACAAAGGTGAAATTTTTTTTAGAACAAATGGAGTAGTGTATATGTATGCAGTACAGATGCCTCCTGGGGAAAACAATCCGTGATAGAGACCACGCACCAGAAGAGGAGTTTTAATTTGGTTTCTAGGCCACTAATGGGAGGTGGGCCACTAATGGGAGGTGACTAACTAGATTTTGGCTGTTATTGGTGGATTGGCGAAAGAAATGTTGGCATCATATCCTACATATATATGATGGAAGCAAACTGCAATTTGTGGGATGTTTGTGTTTGTAGGCCTAGCTCGCTGTCAGCTGGTGTGTTCCGGCCGCTGAGGCCATGCCTCACTGGGCGTGTTAGAATCGGTGTGTCAGAAAGAATCGACGCCGGCTACCTGCTGCTGACACAAACAATATATAGTTTTATTTTCTTGGAGCAAACAAATACGTATATATCGCGATATCTCTATCCGTCCGTAGACTTCGGGGAGAGCAGGAACAGCGATGACGACACGTACACCGCGCGCTGTACATGTGAAATATCATCATCATTCAACAAACAAACAAGTCAGTGACGATGACGACCCATCGATCGATCTCCACAAGCCAGGAACGCCCAATGCTTCTCTCTAGCTAATATTTAACCTGTGTCTTTCTCAGCCACTTGGTTGTAATTAGTCTGGTCAGATAACGACGTCGTCTATATATACTTTTGGGCGGTAAATGTAAGTAGCTGGTGACAACGTGTATAATCCATTTTTACGCGCGCTAGAGCGAACGAGTCATGGGGCATGCCAATGCTGATCTGTGAGAGCACGCGGGCGCTAGGGATGGGCACGTACGTACGCTGGATTGGACGAGCAGTGTTGTTTTGTTATATGTATGTGTGAGTACACATGTCATGGGTGACGCGTAACCGCATGCATGCTTTTCTAGATCATCAGGCAGATCAGCATCTATTGGATACATATGATGACCAGTTTATTACTTTAGTTTGATTGATCAATCTCTGCTCTTCCTTCTCATTATACTATTTAGGTACACAGCCTGATCGGCTGTTGCTGATACGATCGTATACGATTGTGGATTATTACTGCTGACTGGTTTGGTGTGAGAGAAAAATACTGTTCTGGCTGAGAATTTACGATCGTTTACGATCAAATAAACAGGCCGACAATACACATATATAGTTCCTTGATTGCATTATTGTCTCCTCTCTGGCACATGTAGGTAGTCGTACCACTGTCCTCCTCCTCTGTCGTCGTTTATATACTTGCTAAAATTTTGGTGTCTAAATTTTAGTTTTTTTTTCAAACGATAGTTATTGTATATATTTTATACTAAAATTATATATTTCGTTTATCGTAATGTCTGTAGGCGCAATTTGCAATTATCGGTACTAAAAAAAAAAAAAAAAAGTTAGACAAAACCACAAACCTGATAAAATCTAATTTATGTTGGCACAAAGACAATTAACAATTAACAATTATTTTTATAGACAGATAAGGACAAGAATTTAATATGTTATGAAACAGAGAGAAATAACAAATCACAAAAAAACAATTTACTTATACTAGTTGGTGATACAAGATCGTTGTCTAAAATCATCTTAAAATTCAGACATTGAAATAGAGGAGAAGTGCGTTCATACACATGGAGTAGTTGTTGAACGTATTGGACGGGGTAAATTTATGGAGGTGGCCTAACGAACCCCATCTCTGTCTCCACGGAATGAAGCGACGATGGGGCGCTCGTTTCCAGCTTCCGTTTACGTTGATCCACACGTCCCAGTCCTATGCGCTCAGTCCACGGCAGCCACCACTGGAGGCTTAGCCATACGATGTTTGGAAACATATCTTACTAACGACAATAGACAATTTTGGCCACATTTAAGAAAGTGGGATCAGGAAGGAAAGAACACTAAAGGGCCACAGCTAACTGGCCACAACCACATTAACCAAACACTTCTTATCATGTTTCAGAACACACGTATAACTTCATCCAGCCGCTCCGATCCACCAAAATTATTCTAGCAAATAAAAACCAACACCTGGGCACGCAGCCATCACAAAAAGGGTGCTAACAGGAAATCAGTAGGGCCCCGTTCGTTTCGCTGAAAAAACAAGCAAAAACACTGTTCCGCCTGGTTTGTTGTGAGAGAAAAATACTGTTCTGACTGAAAAAACAAGCTGAAAAAGACGGATTATAAAAGAAGCGAATAGGGCCTGTGTGTAAACTTCAACTCATTTAGTTCACGGCTCTAGCAAAGCGTCCTCCCGCCGAGATGCACTGCTCATGCTGGCCGTTGTTCTCTGTAGCAAACACCTGTACTCCTGTACCCAAATTCAAACTGCTGGGGTAGTCGCAGTTCATGAACTCTGCTCTACTATAGAAAAGGGAGAGTATATTCTTATACAGAAAGGGTATCAAAGAGTTTCATTGAAAATTTGTCTAAGTGTCGGTGATGAGGGATGACAATAGGAAGTTTTGGCAGACTTCTGAAGTTGACAACACTATCATCAAGGAATATGTAGCGTGTGCGTACTTGAAAAGAATATGAGGAAGAGGATCGTCCCTGCATTGGCAAATACTGTAAAAGCGTAAACAATTTACACCTAATTTGCTAGCAGAGCACACAGAATCCACTAGCCTATGACCATATAGAGAGATGACCTGGTGGTCAACATGGGCAAAAAGCCAGCACAGAAATTATATTGGGAGTCCACTGCAGCAGCAGCTCAATTCAGCCGGGCCAAATTTTAGCAACAGAATTGGGCCGGAAGTTTTTTTTTTTGAGTAGAACTGGGCCGGCAGCTGTGCCTCGCTATGTCGCAAAAGCCTCTCCCGTCCTGATTCCTTGGGCTGTCAAAGCCAAGCCCACGGGCAGGCCATGCTGGGCTGCTCTATCAGGAACGCCTCCGCCAAACGCCCAAATATGCCACCGTTAGTGTTTCTAAATCTCCTACAGCTAAAAAAAAAAAAGTAAGACTATTTTTTTTACGACTTTTTTTTTCGCTCCTCTTCCCGTCCGTACGATACCCGCCTCCCGTTCGCGCGCAAAACGCTAAAACGCCGCAATCACCGCCCCCCACCCACCGTGCGTCCGATCCACGCCGACGCCAGCTCCCGCCCGCCGCCACCGCTCCGCACCCACCTCCTCTTCCTCTCCCCTGGCCGCAGCGCGCACGGAGGCCGCGCCCGGACGCCTCGCCGTCGCCGCCTCCACGCGTTCGATCCGCCTCTCCCGTACCAACGCACGCCGACGCTCCCTCTCTCTCTCCCTGCCCTCGCGCCGCCGCTCCATCACCGCGCTCGCCCACGCCAACGCACTCCATGGCCGCCTTACCCCGACGAGGCGGCGGTTTTCCGACCCCCACCCCTCGAGGCAGCGCTGCCGTCGCTGGTAGCCACGGCGCCGCCGCTCCACCCTCGCCGGCTCCGATTCGCGACGCGCGCTCCACTCCTCCATCTACCCGGCTCCGGTGGCCCGACCCTGTGCTCCTTCCTCTCCCGTGCTCCTGCCCTACTCGGCGGCCGACCCTGGTGGCGGATCTGGTCGGCGCGCCGCCTCTCCATCTCTAGCAGCTGCGGCTCCGCTCCACGGTCGGCCTTGCCGGTGCCTGGCCGGCGTGGCGACGACGCATCGCATCTTCCTCTCCCAGGCGGTGGTCGTTCAGCGCGGGTCCAGCAGCTGCGGCTCCGCTCCACGGTCAGCCTTGCCGGTGCCTGGTCCGCGTGGCGACGACGCATCGCATCTTCCTCTCCCAGGCGGTGGTCGTTCAGCGCGGGCGGCAGCGCGGGGCGTATCCCGCCGTCGGAACAGGAAGCCCTGCGCGTTGACGCATCGCATCTTCCTCTCCCAGGCGGTGGTCGTTCAGCGCGGGCGGCAGCGCGGGGCGTATCCCGCCGTCGGAACAGGAAGCCCTGCGCGTTCGGCGCAACAGGCGATGGCGCGACTCGGCGTCGCCGGCCTCTCCGCAACTCAGCCTCGGCTCTCCGCGACTCCCGAGCCGGCGACCCCGACTGCCTCCATCTCCAGTTCCCCATCCAGCTTCAGTGCTCGATTGCTCTGCTCCGACTTCGATTTGATTTCTTCGTTCAGAGGTAATTTGATACCTTTATCTCTGTATAAGATATTTCCCCCCTACTGATTTGGTTCATTGGATGTAAGATGGACTGGATTTGGGAGTTCTGGACAGGAGAAACACATAACCTTGCATCTTAGGGTGACCGTCGTGTTCTCCTTCGCCTCTCCAAATACCTCCGCCTGCACATCCGGAGACTGCGTGCAGAAGCTTTAGATCGCAGGGACCTCATGATTGGGTGAGTTCGCTTTGGTCTGTACAATGATATATGTCCGTGCTATTGGAAGCAACAGCTCTATATGGATCTTGGTCACGTGTTATTGGAACCAGTCTCACATCACGTCGCTACAGAGTACAGACAAGGTGGGATATGAGATGAGCTACCTCCTTTCATGACCTACAAATTTTTCGATGAGGTTGTCTGTACATACGTTTTTTTTTCAAAACTGATGTTGATTTGCATCAAAATCTGACCTTGATATATTTCTGTACCACGCAGGAATTTTATCTCCGGATGCAGTTTGCACAACCATAACAATTCAAGGCACTTCGTTCGTTGCATCCATAACAATTCAAGGTATTATGTTCGCTTTTCTTCCCTTGCTTTCTATTATACATGTATTGTTTCTTATAATATTTCTATTGGGCCTCTTGTTTCCTCTCTCTTCTCCAAGATCATTTACGGTGATTGTTCGTTCATTAACTTCTTTCTGGTGTTCCTATGTTATGGAAGAAGCTTTAGAGTGTATTAGCTTTATTTTCTTTTCCAATAGTTTCGTCCTAGATATAGGCACCCTGGTGGATTCACATGTTAGTCAAGATACTGAGTTTGATTTATACATGTTACCTATGCTGGCATTCAGAATGGTGTCCCTACATAATTGTTGAAATCCATTTATTTATGTTTACTACACTCTATGATGGAATTGTCTGATTCATGATTCAGAGTCTTTGCTGGGAACAAGCAGTACCTGTCATTATCATGTTCTGTGGGATGTGAACACATTTGCCGCTGATAGTGGTTAAAAAATTCAAGCAATTTTTGTTTGCAAGTTGCAGGTAATTTTCAGCAGCTGTGGTCCTCTTAATTCCTTTTGAACTGTCTTTGAGTGTGGCTGCAATTACTTGGCTAGAGATCAATTTTAAATTTATATTTCTTCAGGAACTGTGCATTCATTGTTGCTACCTGAATGGCAATTAATATGATGACTTAATTTTCTGGCACAAACAATGACACCACCTTCATGGAATTAATATGCTAATGCTAAAATTCAAACGGACTCACTTACCTGAAATTATGATTTCTGTAAGCTTTATAAATGCCTTCAGTAATATAGGATTGTCAACCACTTAAGGTTTCTTGATGTCAATACATATAATAGTTTTTTTCTGGTCATATTCCAAAAATATGTTTTTTTAAGCAAAGTAATTGTTGCTGTTTTGTTTCAGCTTACCTTTGTCTCTGATGAAGTACTTCCACCCGAACTGTTATACAATTATACTTTTGGTGAAGAACATACACTCTCTATACCAACATCTTTTTAAACTTTGGTCAAGTGAGTTATTTATATCCACTAACTCTTCTACTTTGTATAATCTTGTGGATCCTATAATAGATTAACTGGCTGACAAATCATTTAATTCTAAATAACTCTATGTCTGTTTGTGGGATAGAGAGGGTGATTTCTCAAACGATAAAACTCAACCTGACAAAGTGACAATAGTGACACCTACCCATACCACTGAAAGAGTGGTCTTGCATAAATAAATTTTAAACAATCAAACAATACACTCCTAAAAATATTTTTCCTCTTGAACATTAGTTTGATTCAGATGGTGTATTTCGTTTGTGCAACCCCAAGAAGCTTTAAGGAATGCTATCTTATTGATTGTGGAGATTTATGTAATTGTGCTAAAAAATCTATATTTATATATGCAGTTGGAATGCAGCATATGAGAGTCTGCTTGGATCAAATAAGCCATTTTGTGCAGACTGGCCTCCGTCTCATAGCACCAGGTTGCATGCAGATACGCCACATGCATATATATGTGAGTTAACATCTTCAGACCTGTTTGGGTACAATAGTGCTATCCAAACCAATGATGTGTTTTTTTATTGCCCACTAACACATGTATTTTTATGCTTCTGGGTGGGTTTTGAAGTGCCATGCTTGCTGAGGTTCGTCTCGGAACAAATCTAACAATCTGTTTCACTATAGGAGGATGATTTCTTGGGTGTCGACATATATTTTTGCACAGTGGTGATAAAAAGGCACCACTGAAACCTCTAGTGAGGAAGGCACTCGCAATGTTCAGTGGGAAAAGAAATCCAAACGATCACCACTTTTCTCGCAAGAGGCACTAAGCTCTCATCTGTCCTCTTCTTTTATGCACGCCTATGGTACCATAGTTTGTAATCTCAGCATGTAATGGTTGAAAGTAGAGTAACTTATTTCTTGTTAACGCGAAGAGTCATCATATTCATACACAGAGATAAGCATGTAAGCTTTGCAGTTTTGCAACATCTATGTATGGTTTCCGTGCTACTGTTTCTCCAATTGATCTGAATTTTGAGTTAGAATAACCCACTATTTTTGAGTTAGGTCCCTTGTAGTAGATTATATTGCAAGATTATACTTATATTGAAAAATTGTATACTCCTTATACATGATCATTGCAAGATTATATTGCAAAAAAAATTCTGCTGTCTCTGCGTTAGCAGCGGCTCCACCTGAGCAGTTAAATTGCATCATACACTTAATTATGCTACTGTTTCATTCGTTTGCTACATCTAACTTCTCTTTCCCTATGCTTCTATAAATTATATTTTCCTATGGTACCTGTATTAATATGCAGCGTTCACCATTATGAACTCAGCACGATTTTGTGGGCATGAATAATACTTTCTGAAGTTATCCCACACCTGATGTCTCCTCTATTTACATGACTCAGGTGGTGAGGCACAGCTAACAGGTCCGTCCGATCGTCACCATAGCTGCTGGATGCCCGCCATGCTCCACAGACATGATTAATGTAGTGCGTCCTAGATCTTCGACAACAATATAGCGATTAGTTTCTTTTGTAAGGTTATTGATTCTTTCCATTTACCCACATGTTCTCCGCACTGAAATTGAATAATATAAGAACGTAAGGAGGCATTCTCGGCACCAATTTAACTGGCTGTTAACCCGCGGCAATGCTACATCATAATTAAGATTTGATTAAATCAGCTAAATAATTATTGGTTATTGAATTGAACAAAACAAATCTAAATGATATATTTTTTATTCGAATTAGACAAAACTAAAATCATGAAGCGGGATGGAAAATGATGAGATAGTATTACCCTAACCGTGGCACTTTTTAAAAAAACAAAGTAGAACAAAGACAATACAATTTTATATAGCTATATATCATTTTAGTTCTGAATTAATGACATCCATGTTTCATATACCTTAATTGCAATCATGAAGCGGGATGGAGAAAATGATGAGATCATTGAAGTCAATTACTCTCCTTCCCCCGCACACCTTCCGCTTCTCGCTCCGATCAGTGCTCGCCAGCAGCCTGCCAGCCTCGCCTCGGAACATTGAAGCACACGGTGTTGCCTCAGCCTCACTCACCCACAATCCGCAGGAGGTGCGGCGCGCATAGCAAGGACCAGCAGGCGAACGGGCGGCGCGACGTGAGTCGAGTTCGGGCCGTGCGGCGCCCGTAGCAGGCAGCCATGGAGACGCCGCGCCTCGTAGTCGCGGCGGCGTCGCGGGCCCCACCACCAACTCCTCGGTTCCGGCGGCGGCGCCTCCCGAGTCCGCGCGGCGAGGCGCATTGCTTCCCCTTCGCCCGCGCCACTCGGCCGGTGCTTCTAACCCGGTGCTCCTACTCCTCCAGGTACGTGCAAATCCCACACCCAGCACCATTCCGTGCGGCCGTGCTCGCATAATTGCTGCGCGCGCGCGCGTGCGTGTAACTGTACTCTGTATGCGTGCCTGTTTCTCAGCTGATTCGGTCCTCCAATTCGTGTCTCAGGGAGGGGAACGGTGATTCTCGCGGTAAGCCCCACCGCGAGAGCTCCAGTACCGTCCGGTGGGTTCTCGCTATATCTCGATTTTTTTAGCGCTCGAATTGCGGATGATGTTTCTATATGGTGCTGGGAATTTTGTAGGTTGGACGTCGACGCAGATAGTGATCAGGCATGGATGAGATCGCCACAGATAATTCCACTTATCTTCTGTTGTTCTGCTTTGCTGATTTAAGAGGCTTATGAGTTTAGGGTAATTGCTGTTTCCAGGTACCAAGTTTGGCTGATGAGGGTGATGTTGGGGAGCTCTTCAGACTGGCTCAACGGAGTAATTACTCTTCCCTTGCTTTACGTTAGAGCATCTCCAAGAGTTTCCTAAATATTCCTCCTAAAAAGTCTATATTTACCAACTCCTAAAAAGGTTCTAGGAGAAAAAAGAAGTTTATCTCCGATAGTTCCTAATATTTGACTTAAAAAATCAAATGCTGGTCCCATTTAACTTTTTTTTCTGTAGTCTTTTTTTTTCCACGCGAACCTCTTCGTCGCCAAGCGTATCCACGCCGCCGCCGCCTGCTGCTGCTCTTCCTCCCTTCGCTCCTACTCTTCCGCTGCGGCACGCCGCCGCCGCCGCCTTCCAGTCCCAGCGCCGCCGTGTACCCTGTCGAGCTGGTGCCGGGAAACACCTGCAGCCAGCTCGAGGTGCGCCTCACGGACGCGTACGAGCCGCCCCCGAACAGACGCAGTCAGAAGGTGGGAAACTTGATCTTGTCGGCGCAGTTGCGCAGCAATGGCTCCGACCAGTCCACGAGGCCGCTCCCGTCGCGGGCGACGCACAGGTACACCTTGTACAGCTGTGCCTCGCCGGCCGTGTTCCGGTTGCACTCCACGATCGCGTCGGACCCCGTGGCCCCGCGGATGGCGTCCTTGACGGCGCTGAGGAAGTAGGTGGCGCTGTCGGACGGCACGATCCCGGCCTCGGCCAGGACCGCCGTCAGGTTGTGGGCGGCCTTGAGCTCCAGCGACCTCTGGAAGTAGCGGTGCTGGTCGAAGGCCGAGCAGGTGCCGTGCTTCTGCCACTCGTGGCCCCAGAAGTCCATGTTGGTGGCGCCGTTCTTGCACGACAGCGTCGGCCAGTCCCGCTCCAGCGCCGCCAGCAGGTCCTTGATCTGCATCTGGTCCAGCTTGTCCTTCTTGTCGCAGTTCTCCGGCCAGCACTTCTTCTTTGTCTTCCCCACCGTGCCCGTGCTGCCGAGGATGTTGAAGGACGCTGCAGCGGCGCCGTCGTTGCCGGCGGCGGGCCTGCACAGGGCGTATTGCGGCCATAGCCCGTGGATCCCGAACTCCGGCGCCGGCGGTTTCTCGGGGTCCTGGAAGCAGCAGCCCTTCTTCGAGTCACAAAGCAACTGCGCCGTACGACTTCCGTAACGCTCCGACGTATCCGAGCGTGGCTTCGTCCGCGTAAAGTTACGCGGAAAGGGGAGGAATTTCCCAAGTCCTAAAAGATTAGAAGTAAATATTAGGAGTTGTTGGAGAGGGTTTTTTCTCCACCTTCGTAAAAAACAAGAATTAGGAGGATGTTTAGGGAACTCTTGGAGATGCTCTTATGTTAATGTTCTGTATCAGACCACACTCAGTACTGTAACTGTTAGTTTTCATCATAATGTAGCACACATTTTACCATTGGAACCACTCTTTCACATTGCTCCGTTCCTTGCTGATAAATAAGTCTTAACATTTGTCTGTTACAGATATCCTGTACATTAACAAGCAGCGGCTTATGGCCATGGAGGAGCTGAAGAAACTGCATGATGAAAATAATTTGCTTCTCGAGGAAATACAAGTACTAGAAACAGAAATGCAAGGTGCAGTCTCGGTTACCAACATTTTCAGGCTTAGGAACTATATGGACGATAATTTGAAATTTCATCTTCAGCAATCCAATACATGCTGATCGTTGATATGATTGTTTTACTTTCCATTTCTTTTTTTAAACAATTTACTTTCCATTTCTCATTTTTAACTATAGTCTATAGAGGTAAACTGCATGCATCAAATATTAGAAATGTTGTCATATACCTTTCACTATAATTTTACATATTCCATTTTCTCATGGGACTCCTTTCAGGTATTCCCCTAGAAGCAGCACAATCGTCAAGTTTCAGCGAGTTACTCCTGCGGATAGATACAATGGTCATTTCTGGAATGATCAGCATGGCGGAAGCATCTGATTTAAGAGAGAAAGTTGTCACTAATAGAAGCATAATACAAAGCGCCTTTTCTGATATTCATCATAAACCAAATACTGAATTGCTGTCCGATCTGCGACTCTTTCTGCGTAAACCAATAGAGTATGATACCACTTACCTTACTTTCCTCCAGTGTTACCGCCTTTTACTCAAATTTTCTGCAGTGTTACCGGATACCCATGTCCTTTTTTTTTGCTGCAATGACAACTTGACACATCGAATTGTCTATTGGCACCTGACATGGCCTGGTTCATATCTGATACATTGAGAAAGAATCTTGCTGTCTTTGCTGTCCCTATGCCAAGGTGGTTTGGAGGCAAATTCTTGCATGGGAACACTTCGATACTACTCTAGGACAGCAGCAGGGGGATCCCTTACAGATCATGTCCTGGTGGGACAAGGCTGTTACCGTAGTGCCCCTAACAGAGCAGAGAGGCTTCAACGGCATGGTCGTATACACCTTTTGGAACCTCTGGAAAGAGAGAAGCAGGCGCATATTCAACAACAACTCTGAATCAGCGATGCAAGTAGCAGCAAGGATCAAAGACGTCATTGAGCAAAGAAGGAGAGCATTCAGCTAGAGGGGGTTTAGTGTTTGGAGAGAGCCTATCCTTTTCCTGCTCCCCAGGGCGTGTTAACCCTGGTTTTGCTTGTACATAATCAACTCTTTTTCCCCTCTTAATTGAAAGGCAGAGCTCCTGCCATTTTTTCAAAAAAAAAAAGAAAAGAAAGAAAGAATCTTGCTGCAGAGGGCAAGAGGAAGCTCATGTGTGCTATCCATGAGAGGGGAAAAATGGCAGAAGACAAGGATAGGCATGTAGCCATAGAGAGATAATCACTTTAAATGCTGGTTTTGACGGTTGTTCTATGCACAAACTGTAGCTAATCTGGAGCTTTTGCTGTAAATCCCTGGCCTTTTCCTTTGGTAAAGCACACAATGAAATCTTTAGTGTCCTTCTAGTTTGTTTTATAGGAAATAGGATTAATCTTAGATTTTTTTTTTCTGAGCGACGCATGAGAGCTGCGTGTTATTTCATTAAGAAGAGGGATTAATCTTAGATTGTACTTAATATTTGAAGAGCTAAAATGCTATTCTATTTTTTTATAAATATATTAGAAGAATTCCTGAATCCTGATTTTCTGAACTTGCTGAGCCAAACACCTGCAACTGTGTCGGATTCTGGTTCCCACACCTGTGTCCTGGTAACACTATTCCTGCCTATCTCGGGCACCTTCTATATCCACCTGAGTGAGCTTAAAGATGCTCACCAACATGGCAACTTGTATATGCTTCCCACTGATGTTTCACCCAGTATAACTGCGACATATTTAATTTGAGTCTTTTGCTATTATACTTGTTGATGCTATATTTGAGCCTATGTTCAATGCAGGAAACCTCTTCATATTGTGCACATCTGCAGTGAAATGTACCCAATAGTATCATGCGGATCATTATCAACCTATGTTGCCAGTTTATCTTGTGAGATTCATAAAAAGGGTAACTTGGTGGAGGTGATACTACCCAAGTATGCAACCTCTCTTCACTAACCAAATCTTTGGTATATAATGCTTGATAGACTGTCTGGACACCTTAGGCTTTTATGTTGTAGTGGTCTGATTAGTCGTATGAATAGGGAAGTTTCTTTTGAGTTGATTTAATGTAAAAAATGTTCAACAATATAAGTATATAACACGCTTCTAGGCTTCCTTTTAGCTATTACTATGTAAGAGTAAAATCCTGAAGTTTAAATATCAATATCCAGACGAGACAATTTTTTGCTCATTCTAGATGGATGCTCTAAACTGGACATTCTTCTGAACTGTGTTTTGATGACAATATCCAGACGAGACAATATCCTGAATTTGATTGTCAACTTTTAGTTTTGATGACAATCTATAGTTCTTAACTATGTTGTTTATTCCATTAAGATAGCATGTCGAGAAAAAAAAATCAAGACAGCTCGTCCCAAATGATTTGAGTTAATTTGCAAACTGTTTTGAAATAAGTTATGTTTTGCAGTATTGTCATATTGGTATATAGTCCTCAATTTTCTTCTCTTCTCGTTCTTATTCGTAGGTGTTACATTTGAAATTCATTGTTATCCTTAGTAATATGGATTGTTTTGGCTTTTGCCACATTTACATCTTGCTTATTGCACACAAAGCTATCATGCTCATCGCATTGGTATGGCACAAAATAGGTACACCAGCATAAACGTGGATGGAATTCATGGTCTAAGGAGAGCTGAGGCAGAGTATGAATCTTATTTTGGTGGTCTTTGGCATAAAAACAAAATATGGACTGGGTAAATATACACTCCTAGTGTGCAAAGAGATGTAACAGGCCCTATTATCTCGCTCTTCTCTTATTTTAGCTGATGCTTCTGTATTTGTGTAGTTCTAGAGGCATTTTACTCCTAATTTTGCTTCTTTTATGCAGTACATCAAGTGGTGTTGGTATTGTACTTATAGAACCATCTCAGCTCTCCTATTTCAGTCGTGATATGTTACATGGCTACCCTGATGACTTTGAGCGGTATGTAGGAGCATCAGATTTGGGTAGTGACATGACAGACTTTTATGAATATAACATGCAGAAGAAACTGATGTTGAACTGACTATAGTTTATAGTAACTGTTAATAGTGGTAGCATTTTAGAATATTATATGTAGCTTTTTGTTGGAAGTGCTGCAAGCGCATGACATACAGATTATTTGTTCTTACTACATCTTTTTTAGATTTTCCTATTTTTCCCGTGCATCCCTGGATTATATTGTAAAATCTGGAAAGCGGCCAGACATTATACACATACATAACTGGGAAACTGCTATAGTGGCACCACTTTTCTGGGATATATTTGCTCACCAGGTCAGTTTTACTAAAGTATACACAATGCTTTCTCAAATTTACTATGCTATTCAATGGTATGATAATGGTTTGTAAAATAGTCTTATATTTATTCTCCATGTTAAATGGATGATAATACCTTCTGACAGGATTTTGTCCTAGTATCACCAATGAATAATATCTCATTCTGAAAACATAAGAGGAAATATGTGCATCGTGTTTTCCCTTTTCAATACAAATAAATTGAAGTGCTCTATTAGATTGAAGGATCACTTCCCAGATTCATTACAGTATATGATCCACTATTCTCACTTCATCCATATATGCTCATTTCTCTAGACCTGGTCACATCACCTCTTCAAATAAACTCTGAATGTATTTTTTCCCACATGAACTGCCACAAGATTAATTTCTTTCATTTTCAGGGAGTTTAATCTGGCACATGTCTTGCATTTTACCATTCTGCGCCTGACACGCCTGTAGAACTTTTTAAATCTATTCCAGACATGATTACTGGTTTTTCTGTTATTTTTTAGATCTTCTGTTTTTCCTCCTGCAAGTTCTGAAATTTTCTTCTGATTTGTTAAGCATGTTCACAAATGGGATTAGTCCCCTTTTCTAAAATAGATAAAAGGCCTCCAGCCTATTATGAGCAAACTTGAATCCATTTTAGCCAACTTAACCTTGTTTGGGCACTTCTGCTTGGCCCCAGTCACCCCCCCTTTCCACGGTACATTTATTTTAATACTTATTGAAAAGTAATGTTCAGAGGTGTGCAGAGGAGACTGGATCAATGACCGAAATGATAAAGTAAATTGGGTGTTAGGATAGCCCTGACTTTTGCATTCCCACTTAGATTCCAAATTGTAAGTTTATAGTTGTATAAAATAATAAAACATTACAAATGTATATGCTGAAATCAATATTGAGTCTTACTCTTGTACTTTAGTATTTCGTTATTGAAGTCCTGATGTGAAGTTTTGACTTGTAATTTTGTTATACATTCAGGGACTTGGGAACACTCGGATATTACTGACGTGCCAAGACTTGAATTCAGAAGTAAATATTCAGTATGATTTTTCCAGTTGTTAGTTGTTACATGCACTATGACTACCATCCATCACTGTTTCTAATCATTGCAATATATTTTGCATATATTTGAAACCATTTTTTAAGGCTCAGTAGTATATGACTATATGTACCTGCATCTACTAGACTACAAGAAGTGGTTTCTTGTTTTTTTTAATTACTGTACATTTCATGCAATTGTTTCTAGTGCCTAGAGGAGCCAAATAAATTGGAGATGTGTGGACTTGATCCTCATAATCTTCACCGCCATGATCGTCTGCAGGATACAAATAAGACAGATCTTGTTAATATTCTTAAGGTAAATCATATTAAAATTGGAGGTTTTATACACTTTAATATATGTTAGATATTGAAGATGTGTACCTGAATTGTTGTTATCTCTGCCAACATAAACATTTAGCACCGAGGGCAATTCTGTTTCTTTCTGGGAAACATACTGTTCAAACATGTTTAGATTTTCATTGAATACAAGTTTAAAATGCCAGATGGAAGTTAATCGTTTCAAATGCCTTTGATGTATCCATTTAAACATATCTTTTTATTAACTTATGTATCATATCTTTCTATTAACTTATGTATGTGCAACATATCTTTCAATTAACTTATGTATATGCAGGGGGGCATTGTTTATTCAAATAAAGTTGTTTTGATGTCCTCAACGCATTCAAAAGATGCTCTTATTCAGGGTTCAAGACAAGGGCTGCAATCAACATTAACCACACATAAGTAAATTAGCTTATTCTTTGTTTATCTATCCATAATTTTTCTCCCATTGGGCCTAAAAAATTGCTTGTCTCAAGTGGCGCTTGATTTGCTGAGATTTTCTGAGATGCTTTAAATCCTTTCTAGGGAGAAGATATTGGTTGTTTCTTATGGATTGGATGGTGAACTTTGGGATCCATCCAAAGACATTTTCCTTCCTCGGAGGTATTCTGCTAATGATATCGAGGAGAGGTCCATTTGCAGACAAGCACTTAGGAGACGACTTCGGTTCAACAGTGATTCATCCATTATAGTATGTACATTGTTGTTCTGCGCATACATACTTCTGTTTGTCTAGTTACTACATTGAGTGTAACATCAGGTAAGCGCCATTTGTCAGGTAGGATGTATCTGTGATGATAATTCAGTTATCCATAGTCTTAAAGAAGCAGTTCATGTTGCTCTGCGCAGGAATACTCAGGTGTGTGGTATACTACTTTGTTAGATACCTTCCTTGGGACTTAAACAGTTTATTTCTCTACTAGCACAGTTGCAAAGAGTTTATACTGTACAGGTCATCATCATGGAAAAGTTAGGGTCTGTCGTGAACTCAACTTTGCGAGCATTAAAGGGAGAGATAATGGTATCGCTATTCCGTGTCTAACTTGTTTAGGCTTTCTACAATCATGGAACATCATGTGTTTAATGCAATTTCATTTGTTTATCATTTGTTCGGTTTATCAAACAGGGAGACAAAATAGCATTCGTTGAGGCATACGATGAAGCCCTAGCACATTTAATATATGCAGGATCTGATATCATTCTTTGCTCTTCCTTTCAAGATCCATCGCTGCAAACAGCGGTATGTGAAACCAGCCTTCTTTTTGCCTGAATTGTTTCAATAGAATTATTAAACTAAGAGCTGTATGTAAAAAATGGGACCAACCTAGGAGGAGTTAGACGGTTTTTCGTTAGGAAGAAAATGAGCACCCAAATTTGAGTAGAAGAGGATTCAAACCTATTGTTGGGATGCATGACCACACCTCCCACCCTAACATGCATGTGCATTTTTTTTACAAAAAAAAGTAAAACAATATTTTTAGTGCACATATCCTTGTCCTTTGAAATAAAGGATCAACAAGTTTCATTTGCATACAGTGATTTTATTCTGCATGCTGCTGTGTATATAAGTGTTTCAAATGGATCTTGCTGCTACATTTATTTGCATAGGTTTTGTCAATTTAGCAAACACCACAAATCACTGAGTTAATATATTTCAGGACACACAAAATACAAAGCCTGTTGTGATTATTTTCCACCCCAATGCTGCGTCTCTTAGTAATGTTAAGTCTCCTTGTGTGCAGATGAAGGCAATAAAGTATGGATCTGTGCCAGTACAGATAAACTTTCCCAGCGATGAATCAAGGTAAATACCAAAAAACGCTCACTTGGCAATCCATCAGTTTGATATGATTTAGATGAAATGTTTTCTTTTTGTGTCCAAAGTGAGTCGAAACTCCGTGATTGACAGAAGCTTGAGTATGGACCAAAGTAGCATTTACATCAGTTGATTGACGATTATGTTATGTATATGTTATAGCTTATGATTTCCATTTGTATGTACTTGTAACCAGGGAGTTGGAGGGGCATGACTGCCCAAATACAGCAATGTCTCAGTACATCATCTCAACCTATGGAGATCTGTCTCTTTCTCAAGCACTTGATGACTTCGTAAGTTTGCAATCTCAAGGGAGAATAGCTATCTTGTCAAGGGCTGTTTTATGCACAATCAATTATCTCTTAATAGATCAAATAATGTTCTGAACATCAGCATAGGTCAAAGTTGCAATCAGAAGGCCCTGGAAGCTGATTGCGTGAAACTATCTTATTTTCTGAAGTTAGTTGCTTCTTGAATTTAACATAATTTACTTCCCAATGTGCAGAACAATGACCCTTCACATTGGGATCGGCAGATTAAGGATGGGATGGCTAGGGGTTCGTCATGGGACATGAAGTGCTATAACCTTCATTGGGAGGCTTATTCCTCTATAAGGAAGCTGTGAACTGGGCATCTGCTAGAGAAGCACATGAGGCACCAGCTCCCCAAGTTAAGGGTACCATTTTTTTTTTTTGCATATAATTAGATTAACATTTAATTTCTTAGATGAATATTTAATCAAGCTAAAGGTCAGTGAATAAACAAATGGTATGTAGAGCTGCTCTGGATTTCACAGTATTCTCCAATTTACTGTGGCAGTGAGTGTGCATTTTCTTGAGGAACAAACATGAACAGTGTCAGTGGACTTGACGCATATACTCATCATTCTGAACAAACAAACAGAGCAACTAGTGATCGATTTTAGAAAGGGTGAACAATATTTGCCGTCCCTTCTAATAAAAACACGGCAAAGCTTTTGCTGCCCCTTTGTTTTTTTTCAAGGGTGAACAATATTCAGTTCCTAGTTCTTGGCTCTTCATCACGTGTGCAGCCTTTCACTGTTGCATCCAAAAGAATCCATACTTGAATCAATTTGCTAAAGTTATGGCACAAATAATATTATCTACAAGCTGTAAGTATTATATGTGCTGCCCTCTTCAAGATCCAGGACATCTTGCTGTCTGAACATGGAAGGAAGATCCCGTTGTTCCATGGGAAGCAAGGTCTGCCTCTCTTCCAGATTGCCATCAGCCTGAGCCCACGGGTGCTGCTGGTATCTCCTCAGCCTCTCCAGCCTCTCAGCCGCCTCCTTCATCGTTGGCCGTTCCTCTCCACTCATACTCAGGCATCGCATCAGGAGGTGAGCAATTTCTTCAAGCACCTCGGCTCTCATCTCGTTCCTCACTTGGCTGTCAAGAAGCTCTTCATGCCGGCCAGCCTTCATTGCCGTCATGAAGCATGACACTAGGCTCCTGTCTTCCTCTGGCCCGTCGAAGTAGAGTGCCTTCTTTCTGGTCAGAAGCTCCAGCAGGACGACACCAAAGCTATACACGTCGCTCTTATCGGTTAGCTGGCATGTCATAAGGTACTCAGGGTCAAGGTACCCACAAGTCCCCTGCACCAATGTCGCAATCTCGGCCTCATCAGCGGGCGCCAATTTCGACGCCCCGAAATCCGAAACTTTTGCGGTGAGCTTGTCGTCGAGCAGAATGTTGGCCGTCTTGACGTCTCCATGGAGGATCGGCGGCGAGGCAGACGAGTGCATGTACGCGAGCGCCTCCGCGGACTCCGCCGCGATCCGGAGACGGGTGTCAAGGGTTATATCAGCCTTGAGATCCTTATCGTGGATGTAGTGGTAGAGAGTGCCGTTGGAGACGAACTCGTAGACCAGCATGGGCACTTCTACTTCAAGGCAGCAGCCAAGCAGCTTGACGACGTTCCTGTGGTTGATCTGGGAGAGGATGAGCATCTCCCTCGCGAACTCCTTGGTCTGGGCCTCCTCCATCATCTTGGACCTCTTGATGGCCACCACCGTCTTGTCCTCGAGCACACCCTTGTAGACGATGCCGTGCCCGCCGTGGCCGAGGACACGGTCGGCGGCGAAGCTGTTGGTCGCATTCTCTAGCTCATCCTCGGAGAATATCTTGAACCCACCCGCTCCAGCGCCGGCGCTGGTGTAGGAGCGCATCTGCTGCTGCAGGATGACGCCCCCGTTCTGCTCGAAGAACCTCTGCTTCGTTCTGATGAGCTTCCTCTTCTCGAGCCCCAGGTTGAGACACACGCACAACAGTAACAAGACCACCCCAACGCCGAACCCTGAACATCATCGCATACTCATCAGTGTCCAGATAAGAAACTGGCAAAATTTCCAAGCATAATCAATAAATTTAGTGTCGGCTCACAGGAACAGGATGATGTGTTTGTGTACCTGTAACCACTTTGAGAGCTAGTGTGAACTTGTCCTTGGGCCGGCAACCGTTCTGCTTGTAGGCATCCCCATCGGTTCCCGGACGGCATTTGCAAGTGTAGTTTCCCGGCAGATTTGTGCAGTCTCCGTAGCAGGGATACTTGTCTTTGCGACGGCACTCATCGATGTCTGATCCGTTTGCAAATGCAACAAACAGGCAGGCAGCAATGGGATATATAAAAAAAAGGCAGTGATGCGCTCGTATATGATATGGTCATGGAGATGCATGTTTACCTCTGCATCCGCCGTCGAGGTAGGGGTTCCCCTCGTAGCCCTGCTTGCAGATGCACCGGTAGCCGGCGCCGTTGGTGGAGGGGACGCACTCGCTGTTCCCGCTCCGGCACGCATAGTCCGCCATGTTCCGCTGGGCGGCGCTGCAGTTGCCGACGTTCCGGACGGCCCAGTCGAACACGACGGGCGCGGCGAAGTCGTCGGTCCGGTTGAAGAACACGCGGTCGCTGTAGCTGAACCAGTCGGCGTCCGCCAGGAACACGTACTGGCACGTGGTGACATTTCTGTCGAAGATGGGGTCCAGCTGCCCCCCCTGCAAGCTGAGCGTGTTGGGCTCGTAGTAGTAGAGGCCGGGCGGTATGGCGCTCTGGCAGCACCCGACGCCGGTGCACGATCCCTGCCCCGCGATGGCGTACTGCGCCGGCCGGCACACGGACGTGCAGCCGCTGACGAAGTATCCGTCGCCGTCGACGAAGTAGCCGATGGTGGGGCAGCCGGTGGCGACGAGGCGGGTCTTGGTCGGGGAGACGCGGTAGGGGCTGGCCTCGCCGAGGGCCATGCTCGCGTCGTCGTTCCGGCCGACGAATTCCCCCGTGGTGGTGTTGTAGCACTTGCGCGTCGCGTTGAGGTAGATGCGGGCCTCGCCGGCGGCCAAGGACAGGCTGGCGAGCTGGTAGCGGTCGGTGGTGAGGCGGGGCGGGGAGCGGGCGTCGTCGCAGAGGAGCTGGAAGCCTCCGGCGGTGCCGTCGTCGCGGTAGCACCCGGCGCCGATGCCGAATGGGTAGGGGACGGTAATGTTGCCGCACCTGTCGCGGCACCCCGGCCGCGCGACCCCCGGTGGCAGTGGCGGTGACGCTGGCGATGGCTGCCGCTGAGCTGATGCTGATACTAGACGCGCCAGCAGCAGCACCAGTGCAGCAAAGGCCTGCAAGCTGCGTAGAGTGGTTGCCATTTCTAAGTCGTGCTTTCTGGCAGACAGCCGGGCTTTGCATATATGTAGTACCGTCCATGTGCGAGATGATACGCTTCATTGCTTGAAGTAGAAACACCAAGCAAAAAGAAGAAGATGCATCTGCATGTCAGCATGTTGTAGTGGGAACACACGCTTCCTAGTTAGCTTCTTTTGACAGAGACTAGGCGGTTCTAATTGAATGGTTGCTTTGACTTGACCGGTACGAGCGCCAGGCAGGATGGGGAAGCGCGGCAGCTTCGGCCTTCGGCTGTTGGATGGTCAGCCTCTCAGAACGGGGACTTTGCATGTGTGCGCATGTCTGGTCCTGCTCATGCTCGAGTTGATCTAATCAATTCGCCTCTTCCTGTCGGCATGTGATGATTGCTGGAAACATGTAGTGCGCTATTTTACCAGATTTTTTTGAAGGAATATTGTGTCTACATATACACAATAATAAATGTTCTATAAACATAGCGTACAAGCGGAATATAACCATGTACTCCCCCCGTCCGCAAGAGAATGCAAATATGGGATCCGTGCCGGTCAAATGAGTTCAACTTGAACAAAGTTTATAGTAAATAATATTAATATTTGTCTCTAAATAAATTTATTACGAAAATATATTCTATAACTAATTTAATGATACTTATTTTGTATCATGATTGTTAGTATTTTTTATATAAACTTAGTCAAAGTTTAAATTGTTTGACTTCTCGAAAAACGAGAATTACATTGTTTATGGACGGAGGTAGTAAATAATAATTGAAGCAACCGATACATAGCAAGTCTAGACGAAAGATACTCTGCGTAATAAATAGTACCGTAAAAAGGAAAAGCTAGTAAAAAGCTGAAGATTGTTATGAAATATTAATGTGGATGTCCATAGCCCCTATACCATCAAAGCTGCAACCTTCTACTTCAATGGTGTAACTCTCCTAGCATCAATTCTTGTAACTTCATGTCACATGTATGGCTATATATAAGAGGGCTTATATATTGGAAATATGACCAGAGAAAAGAGAACAACTCATTTCCTTCCTCTCTAAATTTGTTCTCCACATTCTTACATACATATTCTTGATAGTCAAACTAGCTATTATAACACGTTATCAACACGACGGTCTCCAAAAGCTATATCATGAAAGATAAGAAACTTTACATCGATCATAATATTATTTTTGTGGTAAGACATTGTCATTTGTATTTGTTTCTATATTTTGTTCTTGTGCAATTGTTTGAATTTCGCAATCTATATATTTTGTAGTTTACTATGTCGAATCTTGCCAAACTCTGGATATTTTGGGCAAGAATTACTTGTCATGGGTGCTAAATATTGAAACTCACTTGAATGCCAATGGGCTTCGTGATGTGATTAAAGAAAAAAAATGCATCTAGCCAAGATAAAGCTAAGGCTTTGATTTTCATTCGCCACCACCTCCATGAAGGTCTAAAGGATGAATACCTTATTGATAAGGATCCCCTTTGTTCTTTGGAACAAACTAAAAGAAAGATTTGATCATCAGAAAACAGTGATCCTCCCTAAAGCTCGTTATGAGTGGTTGCACCTAAGGTTGTAAGACTATAAAAGTGTTTTTGAATATAATTCAGCCATGTTTAGAATCACATCATTGTTACTGTTGTGTGGAGAAAAAGTAACAGATGAAGAGATGCTAGAGAAAACATTATCTATATTCTATGCATCAAATGTGCTGCTTCAGCAGCAATACCATGAGAAAGGATTCAAAAAAATATTCTGAGCTTATTTCTTGTTTGCTTGTGGCTGAACAAAACAATGAGCTTTTGATGAAAAACCATGAGACACGTCCAAGTGGTTCAAATCCACCCCCTGAAGTAAATGCAACAAGATATGATAATCAAAATAGTTGGAGTGGACGCGGTCGTGGTCGTGGCCACGGACGCGGGCGTGGTCGTGGATATGGACATGGTCGTGGCAGAGAAAATTATGGTGTTCGATTCAAGAACATAGAAAATTTTCATAAGAGGCAAGAAAGGGGAGATAAAGATAAAAGCAAAATTAATGAAACAAAAAATACATGCCATCATTGTGGTGGAAGATCTCATTGGGCACGCAACTGTCGCACACCAAAATATCTTGTTGATCTCTATCAAGAATCAGCCGAGAAGAAGAACAAAAAGGTGGAGACAAACTTTCCAAGTGGTAGTGGTGATAATATTTTTGATGATAATGTATTTAGTGCGACAAAAATTGGCGAATATGACCACAACACTGCAACTCATCTTGATGTTTCTGATTTCTTTATCCAAGAATAAATGATCTTGTCGTTAATTCTTCTTCATGCATGAATAAGTATGATATAACAGTAGTATTATTGAAGCATGTTTCATCTTATAAAGTAATGAATAAATTTGTATTATTTTTGTATTTAATTAGTATTCATTTTCATGTGTTTCACTACATAATAATTTTTTCTTTCAATAGTAATGTTTAGTATATTTTATTTTGAAGAGAATGGGTGAACCATTGCCTCAAGAGCTTACAAGTGAAGAAAATATATGTATTATAGATAGTGGAACAACACATACTATCTTGAAGAGTAAAATGCATTTTTCTTATCTTACATTGCAAGATGTAGTTGTTCATACTATATCTGGAAGTGCTAAATTGATAGAGGGCTCAGGAAGAGCCACAATAATGTTTCCTTGTGGGACAAAGGTAGACATAAACAAAACACTTTATTTGTAACAGAACCGACCAATTATACGAAATTAAGTAAGAAAATCATCCGCCAGAGCAGACGATTTAGCAAACTTAAGTCCGTATAACCCGGTAGTCCGTGAAATCGCGAAGGATTTCAAACCAACTCGTGTCCCAGCCATGATCGTAATAAGTTTAGCGGTCACCATCACATATTACATAAAAGTTCGCAATCTCAGATACATCAGAGTTTAAACATAGTTATTACAAACCAGTTCGAATAAAAGTAGCGGAAGTCATTTGTTCAAACCACACACACTCACGCGGAGTTTAAATATAGTGCCAGCGAATGATCATCTCCAACAAAAGCATTAGATGAGACGTAAGGAATGACCATGCCCATGGTCCTAAGCATCACCCATCGCAGGATAGAGGGCAGTTGATACAATAGCAGTAATCATCATCCGCCCATCTGCAACAAGTGGGAATAAAACCCTAAGTACGAGAAGGTACTCAGCCAGACTTACCCGACATAACCGAAAATAAATGACACCAAGGATTATGAAGGCTCTATAGTAGGGTAGCTGACTCATTTGCAGAAAGAAGCATTTTTAGCATTTCAAGAACTTTTCGAAAGGCATTATTGTCAACTTAATTATTATTAACCTATCGACTAGATTTGCATCTATACTAGAGTAAACATGTGATTAAGCAATTAATGATAACCACCGATCATTAAACAACTTCCATCTTGTCATATTCACTATAATCTGTCCAAGTGTTCCATAACATTTACTACGATGAAGTAACTCAAGTCAAGTGCTCACTATCCGGGAGCGATGGCGATTCGAATCGATTCCTAACCACGGTGGTGATTTATTCCTTACACAAATCTCACTCACCCGCTAAAGTGAGATATTGATCACCGAGTCAACTTTCCGTGTATCTCGAGTTTGCCAGAACCACATGTACCGGGGCCGACTGATCGCACTTTGGTCTTATCATCCCGCCCGTGTCCTACCACACCGCTTCGCATAGTGCGTCATGGGCAATCTACTCGGCCGAAAAAATCTCCCGACTTCGCGGTCGGAAGGTACTTTATCCCGCCAGCTAAATGTAAGGCATGCGTTCAACATGACTCGAGGCCCAACAACGGTCGGTCCTTAATCGATTACTGACGGAAACACTACTCTACGGTCAAAACTCGCAAGTCTCCGCCCGGTCTCAACTTCATTTAACACTTAGTTATACCATGACTTCATAGCCATCCAAGCAGATCCGGTAACCACTATAGCTCTCGCAGTGACGGAAATCACCCGACTTCTACGGTCTAAGCCAGCTAAGCATTGACTCGATTGCGGATACCGTGGTAACAAGGATATAGTATAACAAAGGTAAACAAGGTATAATGCAAAGAACGGTTGCAAACAACTCCTGAACGTAATGCATCAATTTAAGTAAAGTATTTAATGAAATCATTGCAAACCGGGAGAAAGATGCTCGGGATTGCCTCTCGAAGGAGCTCTTGACGGTGATCGGGGCGCCGGAAGTTCCTCAACGCCCTCCTCGTCGGCTTACGGCACTTCCCGCTGCTGCACTCGAAATGCTCCTCGGGCTCCTCGGGTATGACGACTGGGTTCTCGGTTTACGATCCCTGTATGATGCAATGCGCGTAAGGGATTATGCAAACGGTGCATCGAATGAGATGAATACAATGAATATGTTTGAATGCAAGGTAGTCAACATCATCCAAGAAAATATACTACAAGCACATGTCATCTACTGCATTCTCTTCTACTACTAATATGTTTAAGTCAACACATCTTATCAAATGCTTCAAAGATACACCAAAGCTATTATTATTAAACAATCTTGCATTAAAGAGGATTATTTTATTTCTTTTTAAACTAAGGCTACAACAACAACCTATATTTCTGGTGCTTATAAAAATCTAAGAAAATTACAGTAGCATAGTACTACTCTAAGTAGACTACCATAAAAATTTCATGGCATTTGGGTAAGTAAACTATCATACACAAAATGACAAGCTATGGCATAAAAATGAGCATGAAAATACTTTGTACTATGAAAAGTGTCAAACAACAAATTGAGTATTTTCCTAGATTCTAAACAGTAAATAATCACTATAAAAATTACCACATGCATGTTTTATACAAATTTTGCTCTCTAGCAAAAATAACAAAAATCAGCCATTTAAGGTACTTGAACTACACCTCAAAATTTTCCCACAGCACATGCATGGCATACATTTTTTACAGAAAGTACATCACTCAAGGAAACTAACAAAACTAGAAGCATATTT